ATCTCTTCTAAAGTTTTTTTTAGATTTATTTTATTTATTTATGCATACACAAACTGGGGTGTAGGCCAGAGGTGAGGGGGTGGCGAGAGGATTACCTAGAGACAGAGTGGGGAACAGAACAGGCAGGCTGACTGAAATACACTGCTGAGGGGAGCAGCAGGCGAGACAGGAGAGGTCTGCTGAGCCATGTGGGTCAGCTCCCTAATGGGAGCTGCTGATAGCTTCATAGTTCTGAGACTTAACCCCTTGTGCCACCAGGGAGGCCTCTTCTTAAGTTTTTAAAGGTTGTTTTGGTTTAGCAAATCAATTAGCAACAAGGTTTTTAGGAGCAAACGGTGGTGAGAAACTCTGTTCTGAGTTGGTAGCAGAATTCATAATTAGAGGTATCTGATACTTCACAGGAAAAAGGAGGTACCGTGGTATTTCAGGATATTGATGGCTGAGTTTTAGATCATCAGTGGTGATTCTGAGTAGGGACAGAAAAGGAATTTGAAGAGATTGGAATCAATGGTGGTGACCTCTTTGCATGTGGATATACTGCCACCTGTTGGTCTTTCCTGGCCATTGGCGAGGTTACTGCAGTGGCTCCTCAGGGCTCCATCTGGAATCAATCTAGTTATGACTTCTTGTCTTGAGGTCTTAGCAGGCTTTTGGCTACCTACCTCTACCTACCTACCTATTTATCTATCTATCAATCATCTATTTTTATTTTTGCACAGAAGTAGGAGTCAAAAGACATGGATTCTAGTTCCAGCAATGACACTAACTTGCTCTGTGACCTTAGACATATACCAATAGCTTTGGATGGTGGTTTTCTTGATTGCAAAATAACCCCCACATTGAACACGATAACCAAAAACTTATTGTGATGACAGTATGACATTTATTAAATACTTAAATGTATTATGTCACTGAGGCTAAACAATTATATCCATTTACAAATGAAGAAACTGGCAAAAGAACACAAGGGTCTATGGTGGGGGGTGCCCCAAGGCAACAATGCCTGAAGGGGGTTCTTACTCTTTGATAATGCAAATGATGATGTAAATCAATATTGACTGAATAAAAATATTAAAAATAAATTAAAAAATAAAACAAGTATCCATCAATGTAAGGGAGCTACCAATGAAATGTCACAGGGATTGAGAAAATGAGGTCTCAGCTTTTCTTGAAGGGATAAGCAATACATTTTTTAGGAGGTTGTGATGAAGATAGTTCAACTACTGTCATCAGACTTTATGCTTTCTTCTCTCTTGTGTGACCTTTCCATCCCAAACAATTTCCTTGCTTCTGTTACCACTTCCTTGCTTTTGTTTTTTTCATTAGCACTGCTTAGAATATTTTTCCTCTGCCATTTAATTTATCTAGATTTTATTTGTCTTTACAGACCAATTCCTTCCTTGAAAATTTTCTCATCTAGTCTAATTTGCAATGCTCCGTCCTTTCTTTGGCGTTCAGTAACGGTTTTATTTTTGCCTAGAGATAAGCTAATACTATTTTGAACTGCTATTTTATTTTTATGTCTACATGTTGTCTTTCCCTACTCTGCTGTAGCCCCTAATAACAATTAATGATATTAATAAGCACTGGTTCTGTGCTGGATACTCTTTCACATACTGTAAATGTATCATTTCCTTCAAATCCTTCCACAATCTGTGAGCTAGAAACTGTTGTTTTCTTTAATTTAGCGGTCGAAAGAATGATGCACAGAGATTAGAAACTTGCTCACAATGACACAGCCTGGGACCTGAGGATTGAGATTTATACCCAGGGGACGTGGTGCCTGAACTCAGGCTACAAACAGCTTCAGCCCAGCTGGTGCTGATGGCTCAGTGTCTTGCTTCCCACTGATGGAGAAGGGAGCTCTCTTGCCAAGAAGGGCCCCAAGGGCCAAAAACTAACAAAAAGCAACCTTATATTGTTCTCTCGGAAATCTTTTCTTTGGAAACAGAATACTTGGTTCAAATGCCACTGAGAGCATTTAAATTTTGTCCCTTCAAGTGTAAGCTCATGAGGTTTTAGTTCTTTGGGGACCTGTCTCTAATTTATTGAAACCCCCCAAGAAAATGTCCCTTATCTGTATAGTGTGTGAATCAATATGCAGGTCCAAGAGTATCTCTTTATTCTGAGGCCATTCAAGATGGGAAATTGTCTCCTTCACCAAGTGCCTGGAAAGTCGGATCTCTAGAGAAAGGTTTCCACCATGAAGGAAGTTAGACATTCCATTCTTATTCTAGAAGCAATCATTTCCTTTGAAGCAGTGAAAGGAGCTGCAGAAAGGATATCCTTACAGATGTGAGTACATTGCATTTTGGACAACATGATGTTTTTGAAATATGGGAACTTCAAGAATATAACCTTTTCATCTCAGGCTCTCTAAAAAGAGCAGACTTTGAAATTTTGTTCACATCTTTATATGAGTGAACAAGTGTTTTTTGTGGCTTTTTCTGAAGTGAATTTCCAGTTTTTTCTTAATAACATGGAGATACTGTAATGTCCATAAGAAATTCATTCTATGGTCATAGAATGTTAGATAAGAAAGGACATACAGACCATCCTTCTTGTGTTATAGATTACTAGATAAGTTATATTCTAGGGGAGAAAGAGACAGTGAGAAAGAAGAGAGAGCCCAAACTCCCAAAACTAGAAGCAATTTGTACTACCCTCCTACTCAGAACACCTATACTGGCAAATTTGATGGGTATAAACAAAAAAACATTTATGCAATGGACAATGATCCTAATGTGAGCCTGTAATTGTGATTGACAAAACTACACTCTACACAGCACTAAACAAGTAATCACGATGATAAAATCATCATAGATCAAAGTCAAAATTTATGTCACATTTCTAGTTCTCCATATTAATTATTGTATAATTAAAGAGTACCCTATTGCTTTTATTTTATTTGAAGAGGGTGTTAATTGAAGTGACAATAAGTGTTATTTAAAACCAGATTTTTTTTTTATATCCTGCATAGTGATTTTATCCTAGGAGTTTTAAAGAGTTTGCTTTTTTTTTTCTTCTTTGACTAATGAGTGAGAAAGAAATGATTTCTTGAGGGTGTTTCCTGCATAGAATATCATGCATTTGATAGTTTATATATATTGTTACTATAATTGATAGTGTCTGACAGATTTTAGGGTAAAAGCCTTAACAAGATTTCATATAAAATATGGGATTCTGGGCCTCCCCTGGTGGTGCAGCAGTTGAGCGCTGGGCTGCGAAGCTTCCTGCAGCCTCTGCAGTGCCGGTTCGATCCCCGGCCGGCGGCGAGGGTCCCACATGGCGCGCAGACCTCTCCTGCTGCGCCCGCTGCTCCCTTCAGCAGTATATTTCGTCAGTCTGCCTGTCCTGTTCTGTTCCCCACTCTGGCTCTGGTGAATTCTCTCACCCTCCCGTGCTTCAGACTGTACCCAGTGCTTGTATAAACAAACAAACAAACAAACAAACAAATAAATAAATCTTAAAATAAAACAAAATATGGGATTCTGCTTCACAGAACTGACTACAAAAAATAAATATGGGAAGCCATTTTAAAAATGTATATTACTTTGGTGCTACAGACAGATCCTTAATTTCTTTATAAATTTTCATGGCAAGTTCCTCTCCTGCATTTGCCAGAGCATTTGATCTCATTCCTCTTCATTCCTTCCATGACATAATATTCCTTTATTGGAATTATGTGCTTAGGAGTAATTTCTACCACAGATCTTTCTCTGTCAGTTTATAATCTAGATTCCCAGTGCCTTTTCTGACTTCACATCTGTCATAGAGCAAATCTGTTCTCTCTCTCTCTCTCTCTCTCTCTCTCTCTCTTTGTAGTAGCTATTATGAACATGAACAACTACTATCTGTTTCTACTAATCTTTGAAATGAGTAACCATTTTGTCAATTATGTATCTTATTCTTTCACATCCTTTTATAAGTGGGAGAAGGGAGTGTCATAGACAGGAAAGGAGTAGTGCTTCAGTTTATTTGTTACTTTTCAGGACAATAGATAATGTCAGCTACCATAACTCAGAGGTTCCTGCTTTTACTCTGTACCTCTTTACTACTAAGTTACTGAGGGGAAAAGATACACCAGAAGGAAAAGTATGCTAGCCCAAACTGCTGTTTAAAGTTTATGCAAATAGAGAAGATATTCAGGATCATTGTCTTTGAGCATTCTGGACAAATGGCTGTCTATTCAAAGAAAACGTTAAGTGAAAAATTACCCAGAAGAAAGCTTTCCTTCCTTTTTCCCCTCATTGTCTTTATTTTCCTCTTCCATCTTATCCCAAAGGCTATTGAAGGAAACAGAGAGACTCTAACAGGACTGTTGCTCAGATACACACGCATCAATGATTTTCTTATTAGATTATAAATTTTCTTATTATAAAATAAATTGAGAATATGCACACACAATTATATGATTGGGGAGGCATATTATGTGACTTGAAATACATAAAGTAGAATCACATAAACTGTTACAGAATAATAAACAGAATTAGTAACTATAGAATAAATGCTGCTTTAACAGATTCATTTAGGAAACATCAGAGGAATGAGATAACATTTTGCTAATTTATTATGATGATTAAACTGAGGGATTTTAATAAAAATATTAGGATGGCACTAATAATTCAGTAAGAACTGGAACTTCCCTGTTTAACCTTTCCTGGGGTCTAATGCTAAGGTCTAAATATCATTTGTCTTCACATATTCCCAATAAAGGAATCCTTAGTGGGTTTCATTATCCCATCACCCAGTAGGATGAATATGGAGAGTAATTCTCATTACAAATATAATTTTGTAACTTGAGGGAGTTTTAGATAACATAGTTGGCTTCCTCTTTCTATGGAAGAAAACAACCCCAAAAATTAGCTGTTTACATAGGGTCTTTGCAGACCTGTCCAGACCCAATGTCTCAAAATATTATCTTCTATTTCAACAACACTTCAGTCATTGTCTATAATATTTCCAATTAAAATTATCTGTCATTGGCTTTTCTCTCTTAGATTACAATCAACCAATGGAAGAGAGGAATCAGACAGCTGTGACTAAGTTTCTCTTCTTGGGCCTCACAGATCAGCTCCATCAACAGATAGTCCTATTCATCGTGTTTCTCTTTGTCTATCTTGTCACTCTGGGGGGGAACCTGGGGATGATCACACTCATATGGATAAGTCCCAGACTCCACATTCCTATGTACTTTTTTCTTAGCCATTTGTCCTTTGTAGATATTTGTACCTCCTCTTCCATTGCCCCCAAGATGCTGTGTGATATCTTTGTGGAGAAGAAAGGCATCTCATTCATGGGTTGTGCTGCACAGATGTGGTTTTTTGGTCTTTTTGTGGCAACAGAATGCTTCCTCCTGGCTTCCATGGCATATGATCGGTACATGGCCATCTGTAAGCCCTTGCTGTATACACTCATCATGTCCCAGAGGGTCTGTGTGCAGCTGGTGGTAGGACCTTATGTCATGGGCTTTATTAGCACTATGACCCATACGGTTCTCACCTTTGGCTTACCCTTTTGTGGTCCAAATATTATCAACCACTTTTTCTGTGATATTTCTCCACTGCTTTCCCTAGCCTGTGCAGACACTGGGAGAAATAAGTTGGTGCTTTTCATCTTGGCAGGAGCTGTAGGAGTCCTCAGTGGTCTGATAATCCTGATGTCCTATGTTTGCATCCTGGTTGCCATCCTGAGGATTCAGAGTGCTGATGGGAGGCGGAAAGCTTTCTCCACCTGTTCATCTCACCTGGCAGCTGTGTCCATTCTGTATGGCACTCTTTTCTTTATCTACGTTCGTCCCGGCTCAAGTTCCTCCCTGCATATCAATAAAGTGATTTCTCTATTTTATACCATGGTGATCCCCATGTTGAACCCCCTCATCTATAGCTTGAGGAATAAAGAGGTAAAAGATGCATTCAGAAGGAAGTTTGAAAGGAAAAGTTCTGATAGGTAAAATAGAACTCTATTTGTGTTGTTCCATTGGTGTTGGTACAGAACAAATTGTCAAAAGAACACTAGCCAAGAAATCAGAGACTGCAGGTGAACCTGGTTTTATCATTTCACAAATAACTTGGAAAATGGAGTGGCTCTTCATGTTTTCTGCCTGAGGCTTGCTTTTTCTCTGTTGTGATTTCAAAATAATATAGAGATGGATAGAGAAATATTAATATGAAAACATACGAGAAAAGGTGACTGTTAGGTAAGTGTATACAGTTACGATTATGTGAGTTCTACTTCGTTCAGACATGAAAACCAGAATTATAATGGAAAGTTCAAAGGACCACAAACAATATTAAGAGACAAATAAGAAAAGAGAAATTATTTATGCACACGTGCCAAACAATGGGCTGCTGTCTTAATATTCAAAGAACAGTTCTAAGAGTCCTTAGAATAACATTAGATTGATGGGCAAAAAGTGAATACGCAATTCACAGAGTAAGGAATGCAAATTGCAAAAATGTAGAGAAAAAATATTCAATACTGTTATTCCTCAAGTACATGACATAAAATTAAAATGCCAATGTCTTTCAACACAGATAAAATTGAGTCTCCAAAGAGAGTGAGTTTCCTGTTTGGCTGTGTTCCTTATTACTTCCTGTTGATAATATGAATTGTGTTATTTCTGTACAGTAACTTAGCATTTTCCATTTGAAATGATAAAATTATATGGTACTTGACCTGGAAATCTCTCCTTTGGAAACCTAGACTACAGAAATATAAATGCTAATACATAAAATGACATATTTTTTGGCATTTTATATAACAAAGAAAAATAAAATAACTGGACTATTCATTATAGAAAAGTACATTTTTTTTCTATGAAATGTTGTACAGCAAAAAAGGATTAGATTCTTACAGGCGGAATTGGAGGGAACCATTTCATAGTCATTGTTATGTGAGAAAAAAAATAGATTGAAGACTGATGAGCAGCACCAATCATTAGGAAAAAGGGTGAGACCTGTAGAGTGAGCAGAATGTGTGTGTGTGTTCAAGTGCAGGTGAGCATAGGAAGGACACTAGGGGTTACCCCCACCTGTGAGCATTGATGACTTCAGTGGGAGGGGTCTCAGAGGAAGGCAAGGACAGATTTTATTCATACACACCTGAAGTGCAGCTTATTCATGCTGTCTTGAACAGTTGGGCTCCTTTTAGGTGTACCCATTTTGCCTTAAGATTGTGTGTGGCGGCACCATATACAACCTGCTGGTGTCCCCTATGGCTTCCATTGTATTGTTGCATTCATTGCAATTAATGAACCATTATTGATGTATTATTATTATTAAGGAGGATATATTATGATGGAGGCTCTGGGAGGACCCAGCACTCTGTAGCAGGCCTGGAAGCATATTTGCATGATACTCCCTGGGCAGTGTTTCCTCTCGTATTGGGGAAGGAGCTTTTTCTCAAAAGCTTTAGAAGTCAATGATGGAATTGCACCCAAGGCTCACATTTTCTTCTCTCAGACTTTTCATAAGTTCTATCCTGCTTCCCCTTTCACTGCTACTCATTTCACTCTCAGAGTCTGCAGTATCCTGTGGCCTGTGTGCCAGGTCTGCACTGGGACTGCTGCAGTGCCCCTTCCTGCCCTGCATCCCCCCCAATACCGTCAGACTCCTGGGAACTGCTGTATAGACTGAAGACATAATCCTTCTGGGGGATGTTGCCTCCAACCCCCTCAGAGGTCTACCTCTGAAATCTACTTGGGAGGGTATATTCTAGCCTGCCCCAACCACTGAACCTATAAAAACTTACCCAAAGGAGAAAGTTCCTGAATCTTCCTGGGATTTATCTCCTACTCTCTGGAGTACCTGTGTTTTACCAAGTGCTCCAATGTTCTAGCAACTGCGTGTTCTAGCAACTGTTGTAGTGGACGGGGGCTGGTACTTGGGGATGCAGTTATCTGCATACTATGTTATAAAGAAGGGCAGGAGAGTTGACGTAGTCTTCAGGAAACATTGTCAATGAATATTATTGTTCAGGTCACATTACTGGAAGCTATTTCTGATTACATTAGAAAAGAGAGTGTTCCCCAAATATCTGACAACAAACTATGGGTAAACTGGAAGAAGAGGATAATGGTTTGGAGAAGGGTAGATTTGGATCTTAATTTAGAATATAAATGATTCTCAAGGAAGAACAACTGAAACAGTGTTGTGATGCAATATTACTTTAATGAAAAATAAAAAAAAATAGATAAGAAATAAGAGACACTCAAAATCAGTGACTATAAAATATGTGTTCCTTTTATGACATATGTAAAAGAAAAATGTAGACATCATAGAAAGGAAAAATGAAAAAATAATATTCTAAGGTAATCCCATTAGTTTATTTTAATTTTAATAGACTTTGTTTTTTTAGAATAGTTTTAGGTTAACAGGGATTTTGAGAAGACAAGTACAGGGTGTTCCCATATCCACCCTTCAGCATCCCTGTAGCTTACATTGTCTTGGTGCATTCATTGCCATTAATGAATCATTATTGATATGTTATTATTAAGTCCATAGCTTATTTGGATTTCCTTAGTTTTTTTCCTAATGTTCTTTTCCAGCCCTGGCTCCCGTCCAGGGCACCATATCCCCCTTAGCTTTCACGTCTCTTTGGACATCTCTGACTGTGGCAATGCACGTCATACTTTTTATCTCAGACATCATAGCTTTTATAATTAGAATATTTATAGCTTCCACTTCTCTTCCTAGTACTTTGAACACAAGGAATGCATTTGTAATAGTTATTTTTATGTCTCTGACCACTAATTCTAACATCTACATCAATTCTGGGTAAGATTAGATTGATTATATTTTTCCTCTGTATTATAAGTCATGTTTTCTTTCTCTGCATTCTCTGTGATTTTTTTATTGCATGCAAACATGATGGGTCTCACTCTGCTGGTGCTGAACATTGAAGGATTCCTGTATGTGCCCTTGAAATTTGTACTGGGACATTGGTACAACTCTTAAATCAGTTTTGTCATTTCCAACTTACTTTTAAGATTTGTCAGAGCACTGCTTGTTCTGGGGCTAATGATTGCTCACCACTGATTCAAGATTTTGTGAGTTTCCTACTTGAAATCTGAACATCTTATCTGAGGGGCAGGGATCTGCATTATTCCCAGCCCTGTATAAGGGCTGCATACATTTATCTCAAGTGCACTGATTCAATCCTAGTGCTGCCATAACAAAATGCCATAGACTGGGTGAAGAACAGAAATCATTCTTTCCTGAAATTCCACTCGCTTAACTTGATCTCATTGGAGATCATCAAATTAGGGGTTAGGGTTTCCACATGCGACTTTTGAGGAAGCACAATTCATTCTATGTAACACTAATAACAAATAATAGTGGATTAAAAAAAAATCTAACCCCTAACAAATAGGGACTTAACCTTTGTACTAAGCAATCTATAACATAACAGTTAATCAAAATGAGTGCTTCTTGGGGGGTCCCTGGTGGCACAAGGGTTAAAGACTTGGCGCTATCAAACTATCATGAGCCACTGCAGCTAGGGTTGGATCCCTGGCCAGGGAGCTGATCCACATGTGCAGCAGACCTCTCCTCTCTCACCCGCTGCTTCCCTTAGCAGTGTATTTCAATAGATCTGCCTGTTCTGCTCATCACAATGTCTGGTGAATCTTCTCACCCCCCCATACCTCTGGCCTACACCCCAGTTCTTGTATGCATAAATGAATAAATCTTTTTTAAAAAAGAATGTGTCTTAAAATTTCATTAAGCTATTTATCAAATTTGTTTTTGAGGCTGTTCTGGAATTTTTCAGATTCTTTGCTTGCTAATTACATATATGTTAGATTTCAAATGAAATTTGGTTGGTAAAATTCTATTACTGGGCATACAGTAACTTGATTGTTAAAAAAGTTAAGAATATAGTATATTTTATTCATAGCCAGAAATGTTTGCATGGGGTTTTTGACACCTAAGTATATGTTTCTTGTATGAAGTGTATCTGCAAGTGGTCTCAAGGATCCTGTCCCTAATTGAGAACTTTTTCCAGTCATTCTAAAAAAAAAAAAAACAAACAAAAAAAACACATAAAACAGCCTATTTCCAAGTGCCTATGGTGACTTTTTGATTATAGATTTGATTTTCCCATATTTATATTCAGTTTCCCCGAACTGTACTAACTCTCAGGGACAGTGTTTGAATTGTGAGTTTCTTTGTGTTACTGCCAGTGTGTCTCGCTCAATATTATTTGGCATTTTCCAAAGATATCCCCAAGATGAAAGATTTTTTTTTTCATCATAAGCCTCCCTTTAGAGAACATAATCCCATTGTGAGGTAAAACTGGTGTAAACTCTATAACATTTATTTTACTCTATTTTCTTCTCTATGGAGTAGACTCTGGAGATTCTGGATTCTTCAGGGATTAGTTGCCAAATGACTCAAAATTTTTAAGAAAACTATGTACTTCATATTGTGCCCAGGAGAATTGGAAAAGGGCTAGGAGTTGTTTAATATGTTAGGAGACTCCAGATAATCAAGACAGAAATAACCTATCTTCATCAAACTATAACAAGAATTTGTGATACTTCAAGCCCCACCTTGAAGATGCTTAACTCTTTCACAAATTCTGGTTTAATTCTAAAATACTTAAAAGAGGCAACTATGGTATTTTGCCAGAGGTAAGTCTGCTTATTTTGGATAAGGTGAGTTTGTAATAATATAGTCTTATGATTTCATGATCAAAATAAGTTTTTAAAAGCCCTTTAAATAAAAAAAAGTTAGCTCAAATTTTCTTGTGCATGATTCACACTAAACATTAATTTTTAAAAAGATTTCTTTATTTACACATATAAGAACTGGGTACAGGCCAGAGGTGAGGGGGTGATAGGATTGACCAAAGCAGAGGGGGGAGCAGAACAGGCAGATGGCCAGAAATATACTGCTGAAGGGAGCAGTGGGCGAGACAAGTGGGTCAGCTCCTTGGCCGGGGATCGAACTC